TACTGTAATGTTGAATGGCATTTCTATATTGATCTATAATGGCATATTCTATATTGAAAAGCACGTTCTATATTGAAGTATGACTGAAATGACATGATCGGGGCTGTTTTTGTTGTTTAACATTTACATGTTAACAAACTTTCAAGACTTTAAAACTTTAAAGTTTATAACTGACCAACTTCTAAAAACAAATTTATAGTTGTCTTTGTAAATAAATATGTAGCTTTGGAGCTGCTGCTGTGACGCTGTACAAACGCTTCCAGTGTGAATACTCTCACGAGTCTGCAGCTGCAGTGACGCGGTAGTTACGCTGACGCGAAGCTCATAGTTGCGGGGTAAAACAGGCATTAGATTAAAAAGATTTGACCATATCATCCCAGTTTTATAATCACTACATTTGATAACCATCTTGAGGTTCCCAGAAGCTGTATCAGTTCTTGCTCTGGGTCTAGCTTCCTATCCCATTCCCTCCTTGTGTCTGCTTAGCAACAACTGTAAACTACAACCCGTACTAGCCAGACAGTAAGACACTTCACTGACCACTGCCTGCAACATTTCAGTCACTTAGGATATATTTCAGAAGACTACAATCAGTTTAGGAATGCCAAATACAGTCTATATCAGCCAGATGGGAAGAGATGATACTAGGAGAAGGACACTAAGGTTACGTTCACACTGCAGGCAAATGTGGCCCAAATCCGATTTTTTTGCCCACACGTGACTCAGATCTGTTTTTGTCATGACAGTGTGAACAGCACAAACCGCATGGAATCTGATCCGATTTGTGCCACTTCCATATGTGGTACTAAATCCCACACATGTCAGATGTTTTGCAATGCGACCAGTCATGTCGGATTTTATGCAACTTTTATGTCACTCTAGATCGACATTCGTCATAATTCCGCACTGACGGGAGACACTTCAAAGGTGTCAGAACTCATAAGAATTACAGTGACAACTCTATATAAAAACAAGCGAATTTTGCGAAGCTACGAGAATACTTTTTGTGTGCAAAGAAAACAAAAATGACGACTTTATTCAACAATTCTTCTCCCCCGAGTTACTGTCTTCCAACATTTTGGAGAGTATCACAACGCATACGCACGCTTTACACTAAGTGTAAACAACGCGGATTACGCCAATTACGTTCATGCGTGCGCTTTCCCCTCCTAACGTAAACAACGCTGATTACGTTCTTGAGTACTCTCCAAAATGGCAGAAGACGTAACTCGAGGGAGAAGAATTGTTAAATAAATTATGTAATTTTAGTTTTCTTTGCGCATAAAAAGTATTCTAGTAGCTTCGCAAAATTGAAGTTGAGCCACTGATGTCACATGGACTGTTTTATCGATGTCCTTGCTACATTTCTGTCTGGGAACATTTCAGTTGCGTTGCTGTCTATGGAGGGTCAGAGAGCTCTCAGATTCCATCAAAAATATCTTAATTTGTGTTCCGAAGAT